TTCAAGATTAGTTCATATCATATTACTTTTACATAACGCTAGTGACATAAAAAGAACTAAAACTCAAACAGCCAATAATAATTTAATATATAAAATTATTATTGTATTTTACAGTATTATTACAGTAATTATTCAATCAAATGCATTGAAACAGAAACTAATTCCTTCTAAATTAAGATTTCAGCTTGAACATAAGGTACTTTGTTTTTACCTCTGTTCTCTCTTACTGCTTTTCTTCCTATCGCAACAAAATCTAAAGTGTAATTTTTCTGGAACAGGCACGATTAATGTGTGAAGTATTTGTGGCCGCTAACTGTTTACAAAACTACAATAAAAGAAATACTATTTAAATCTGCTACTACTACATTTTATTGCATCTGTATGACTTCCAAGTTTCTTCTTAATTCCGGATCTACTATGTGTACTTCAACATCTAACTGAATCATTCCCAAATCATCACATATATAAGAACAACAGAAATATGTAACCTCTGCAAACGATATGTAATCTGTTTCTTTCTACAACTTTACATAGACCGGAATGGCAACAGTAAAAAAAATAACATGATTTGGAATAATAATGTTGTTTTAGAAGATCTAGGTCTTAAAGGTAATAAATAATTTTCTTTAAAATATAGTAGTGAAAAGTTATTCTTAAACACATGGAATGGCAACGATAAAAAAGTAATATATTTTAGAATAATAATGTTGTTTTTGAAGATCGATGTCTTAATAGTAAGAAATAATTTTCATTAAAATATAGTAGTGAAAAGTTATTCTAAAACATACAAACAGCATTTTTTACTTCCTTGTACGAAGTAAAAAGGAAGTATTGTAGTCGCGAAAAGTTTCAGGCAGCATATTTCAATAAAAATATCCATTTTGACCGCTTTCGAATGCAATTTAACGATGTTTTTGCGTGATATCTGTACGTAAGGACAGAATAAAAGACTCTTTTCCTCCAAAAAAATTATAAAACTGCTTTAAAATTAATTCTGAAGAGAATTTTTCGTGGCGTCTGTACGAACGTACGTATGTATGTATGTACGTACGAACGTATGTATGTATGTATGTACGTACGTACGTACATATATCGCATAACTCAAAAACGAGTAGCCTCAGAACTTTGAAATTTTGTATATAGGACTACTATAACATGTAGATGTGCACCTCGTATTTTGGTTGCAATCGGTCGCGCCAAACGTATATAAGTATATTTATATATATATCCACTCTGTTACCCGGCTCAGTGATCTCAGGCTCTGTTTGTAAATTGTACATTTTTTGCTTTAAAAATGATTGAATTATGTTGTTCTTATCTTCCGTTTAATGTTTTTATGCCTTTAGTAAATCTGTATGCAATATTTTTAGAATTATCAACAATTTTAAAGTTATTTAAGTGCCGCTAAGCCTAATAATTTTTTAGATGGCGGCCATTGCTTGTTTACATTTGAAACAGCAGATTAGTGGATTTGTTGCCAATCTAGAGAAACGTAGCTTCACAACAAAAAGATAACGCCTTTATTTATTATTGCGAATTAAATCATGCTTAATCCTTTCTGGAATTTTTTCAAGGAAATAAGTGTTTAAGATTTACTTAATTTTTAATAATTTAATTTTTAATATTTAGGAATTTAATTTTTAATAATTAGTAATTTTTAATTCAGCTATTTTGATTTTTTTGTATTTTTGCCTTGTCGTGAAGTAAGAACTGAACTAATTGAATGAGAAATACTCAATCGTCTGTGAAAAACTGTTTCTTTTTTGTTTTGTTTGCTTAATTTCTTTTATACATCGTTCTAGCTTTATTATAGTATTTGAATAGAACATGTGGCAACGATTAGATAATTCTTTAAATGTAATGATGTAAATGATGTAAATTTTGTGCATTCTGAGTTATAATATGAACGAAATATAATACTGTTAAGTGAACCTAGCTCCAGAGTGTCGCTATGGTAAACAAATAGAGTGAATTGTAAAGAATGCATTTATTCTATTGTGGTTCATGCGCTGTCGGCGAAGTAGATTTAATTAAGTCCAATAACTTTAAACGGATTGCAAGAAAAAATGCGTATAATTTAATATTCCGTGCAAGGAAGTCATGTGGCGTACACATCAGATGTTTTGTGATTTAGCAACCGTTACATGTATACGCTACAGAATGATATATATTCACCGTGAGCTTACATTCGTTCTTTACATCAGCTCTCCGATAATTTTCTTTAAACATTGCAGCAATGAGAAAGAGTAATTAAAAAATTCTAAATTATATCTCGACTTGGCCCAGTTCAACATAAAAATCATATTTATTGAAAAACAAGCTCCTTCGCCGGCACACGAAAACAAATCTTCCTTTTCAACTTCCCAATATACAGTGGCTCCCAAAAGTCTTCGTACACTTATGATTTTCATTGAAATAGGGCTCTATCCATTAATTAAAAGTAAACTTTCTGAATGAGATTTTAATAATAAGATCTATAATCTATTCGTAACAAAATTACATGAAATATTTTTTAAATATAGCGAAACTTTATTTTTAAGAAATTAATAATCAAAAAATGACAAACATTTTATCTCACAAAAGCCTTCGTACACTGAAATATTTTTGGATAAAATCAAAATTAGAATTATCGTTTGCCGCTTTTTTTAATTTTTACATTGTGGTGGCATTTAAAAAAAAATTGTTTGCTTTAATTTTTTATTGTTTACTTCATAATATTCTATTTATTATTGAAAAATGGGTCGCAGTTGGCAAGAAATTAAAAACAGCATTCAAAAATTGATAATTTTTCACCATAGTAGTGGTAAATCAATTCGAAATATCGCTAAATTAGTTAATTTATCCCATTCTATAGTGCAGTGTGTGATAAAAAGCTTTAAAGAAGAAACTCGGATTGAAAACAAGGTAAGAAAAGGTCGACCAAGAAAGTTAACTAAACGTGATAAGAGATTTATTATTAGAAAATTTGTGAAAAACCCACGTCTTGAGTGCTGTAAAAGTTTTTGCAGAATTTAATGCAAAGTTTTCTACTTCAGTTTCACCTGAAACTGTTGGACGAGTTCTCAGAGAAGCTGGATTACATGGGCGTTCTGCCCTTAAAAATGTTTTTGTTAGTGAGAGAAACAGAAAGCTTAGGCTTTCATTCGTAAAATCAATGAAAAATACACCCGAAACGTACTGGAATAATGTCCTATTTGCTGACGAAAGCAAATTTAACATTTTTGATTCTGTTGATCGAATAACTGCATGGAGAAGAAAAATGAGAAACTTCATTTTAACTTACAGTGTCTCAAAAAAGTGATGGGACACTTGTGCTTTACAAAAAGGAAACTGCAATAAAATAAATTTAAAAAACATGTAAAATTTTTTGTGGATGTGCTTCATACTTAAATTTAGTAACAATTATTACATAACATACATTTTCTCAAAATATTAAAATATTAATTTAATAAAAATACAATTGTTTAGAACGGAGCAGAAAATGGCTCACTTAAGTGATGGGACACTTACTTTTCCATCAAATATTTATCCAAAAATTTTAATTTTTAAAAGGTTTTAATATTTTGCTGGATTTCCTTTTACTTTTAAAACATGAATTAATCTTCTTGGGATGGATTCGACTAATTTTTTTGTGATTTCTGGAGTGATTTTACACCATTCTTCTTGAAGCACCGATTTTAATTGTTGTTTTGAAGAAATGGTGTGTTTGCGAATTCTTGATTCCAATTCTTGCCAAATATTCTCTATGGGATTTAATTGTGGAGATTGCGGGGGTGTTTTTATTATTTCAGGACAGTTATACAGCAGCCAGAGTCTAACGTTCAAAGCACTGTGCTCGGGGTCATTCTCCTGGTAGAATTTAAAATCGTTATGAAGGTTCAATTTTCGTGCTGAAGATTTCAAATTTTGATTTAAAATGTCAATATACTTGTACTGATCCATTATACTGTCAATAAAAACAAGATTACCAACTCCAGCGTACGACATACACCCCCATACCATAACTAACTCTCCTCCTCCACCATGTTTTACTGTTGGCACCAAGTTCTGTTTGCGAAATTCTTCCCTGGGTTTTCTCTACACCAAGATTCTACCGTCAGAAGCAAATATATTAAATTTACTCTCATCATCAGCAATATAACTTCATTCCAGTAATCAGAATTCTTATTTATGTTGGATTTTGCGAAAGCCAGTCTGAGTTTTCTATTCTTTTCACTTAGGAAGAATTTTTTCCTGGCTGCTCTACCGTGATATCCAGAAGATCGAATTACTCTTCTAACAGTCTCAGAATTAACAATTACTCCATATAATGCTTGTAAATCAGCAGCAACTTTAGGAGCACTCATTCTTGGATTTTTTTTAAATATTTCGAAGAATAATTCGCTTTATTCCATTGTATAGCTTTGATGGTCGGCCAGGTCTTCTTTTATTCTGAATCATATGATGCTTTTTATATCGTTTAATGATATGGAAAACTGTTGAATGACTCATGTTAACTGTTTCAGTAGTTTCTCTAATAGATTTTCCACATTCAATATGCAAATTAATAACTAATTTTCGAATTCCAGGCAAAGTTTCTTTTCGTTTAGCATTCATGGCTGCACAGAGCTAAAAAACACAAAAATTCCAAAACAAACTGGAGAGAAATACTGCAGACGATTTTATAAATTATTGGCAATTGCTTTTGGGTAAAAATAAATACCCCAAAAGATATTTTTATTGCTTACTTCAGACGATTTTTGTTGCATAGTACGTAGTGTCCAATCACTTAAGTGAGCCATTTTCTGCTTCGTTCTAAACAATTGTATTTTTATTAAATTAATATTTTAATATTTTGAGAAAATGTGTGTTATGTAATAATTGTTACTAAATTTAAGTATGAAACACACCCACAAAAATTTTACATGTTTTTAAAATTTATTTTATTGCAGTTTCCCTTTGTAAAGCAGTGTCCCATCACTTTTTTGAGACACTGTTTTTGGAACAGTTAAGCATGGCGGTGGAGGTGTTCTTATGTGGAGGTGCATGGCAGCATCAGGACTAGGTAATTTGGTATTTATTGATTTCACAATGAATCATTCTTTTTATTTAAATATTTTAAGAGACAATTTAAAATTATCAGCCCAAAATTTGGGTATTGGAAACAACTTTATTTTTAATCATGATAACGATCCTAAGCATATGGCACTCAACGTTCGCCTTTGGTGTCTCTATAATTGTATACAAGTTTTGAAAACACCTCCTCAGCCGCCGGATTTAAACCCCATAAAACGCATGCTCATTTACATTTAGAAAGAACTGGGGGTTAAAGTACGAAAACTCGACACCAAAACGAAAAGCGAACTGAAAACAGTCTTGATGGAAGAATGGATGAACAATGATACAGGGAAAAAAAAAAAAAAAAAAAAAAAAAAGCTAGTAAAATCTATTTCCAGACTTTTAAAAGCTGTTGTGGATGCTAAAGGATATCCTACTAAATATTAATTTAACGAAAAATGAAAATATTTACTAATATGTCAAGATTTTTTTTGAAGTGTACGAAGACTTTTGTGAGATAAAATGTTTGTCATTTTTTTGATTATTAAATTTTTAAAAATAAAGTTTCGCTATATTTAAAAAATATTTCATGTAATTTTGTTATGAATAGATTATAGATCTCATTATTAAAATCTCATTCAGAAAGTTTACTTTTAATTAATGGATGGAGCCCTATGTCAATGAAAATCATAAGTGTACGAACACTTTTGGGAGCCACTGTATTTTGAATAAAAATCGTGATTAAATAACCGTTGGCTTCCAAATGTTTCTTTCTGTAGCACAAATTAAACTACTGAAGACAAAAACTAAATTGTTGAAAACATAACGAAAGCAAATGGAATCCAATGCTAAATATTTGTAAATAAATAAGCTACTCTCCATAGAAAAACAGCGATATTTGATGGCTGATGGTTCTGTCAAGAACAACAATTATCGGTCATCTTTTGTTCCTTTACATATTCTTTTTCTGTCACATGATATACTCCTACTCTTCATCTTTATAGTCCTTTTAGCATCAAGCAATCATTGTTTATCTCCAGGAATGGAACATAGGTTTGAACCGGTATGAAGACAAGTGGTTTATGATGTCGAGCATGCGTTTTTGGTAGTTAAGTCATTTTTCTGAAAGCAAAAGGTATACAATGTTTGATTATTCCAAACAGACTCGTTTCAGAAAATATTCTAAATAATTTTTGGTAGCAAGATCTCGTATTAATTAAAAGGGATTTTAATGGTGAAGTGAAAGCAACATAATTTTGCCTATACACTTTTGAAGTCAACGATTTTCAAAATTTGATGACTCAAAGAACCCATAAAAGGATAATTTTTTTTTTTTTTTTTTTTTTTTGTAGAACGCTTAAGTCCTCATAAAAGTAAGCGTTAAAAGAACTTCGAAAATATATCTATGATGGATGGAGTTTATATAAGAAAAAACAACAGATCTATTTCATATTATCTTCGGTAACAATAATAGCAGATATGGTATTTAATTCATTATTCATTATTAAGTATTTAATTCATTATTTCAGCTATTTAGCTGTGTGGTTCACATGGTACTAATTTTATTTTTGCATCTTGATTTTAACTTGTAAATCTTTTAATGGAGTATGAAACTCTAGTGTTCTGTACAGCAGAATCTGAAGATTACTGTTCTTGGCAATGTGCAATGTACTGAGCTCTGACGTTTTTGCTTCTCGTATATTTTAATTGGAGAAACAAATTTTGAATTAAAATTCCTTAGATTTGGTTTGGTTTATTTGATTAAGGCAAATCCCACAAAAGCTATCTGCCTAAGGGGAGGGATATCTTCGTGAAGGACTTTCTAAAGGAAACTGGCTGAAACACGTTACACAGGGGGTAAGCCACAAAAACGCCCAAGCAACTAGTCCGTTCGCCGGAATTCAAACCACGGACCGAATAACCAGTGTTCAGCGATTTTACCGTTCGGCCAATTGAGTTCGGTTTTGAGTTGAAGATTTTTTATTTTATTATCAATTAGATAATCAGTATTAAGCGACTTTAGCGGTTTCATCGGTTTTGAATTAAAGATTTATTATTTTATTATCAATTAGATAACCAGTATTCAGCGACTTTACCGTTCGGCCAACTGAGTTCGGTTCTGAGTTAAAGATTTATTATTTTATTAACAATATATTTCTTAAGAGTACTTGAGTTTAATACAGTGATTAAATGTTTCCTATTAAATGACAAATTAATATATTCAAAATTATTATTTTAGATTTAAAAGCGCTTTTAATAAGTTGCAACAAAAAGTAAATATTAAATATTTCATAATTAAAATGTTATCAGTAAAATCCTATGTCTTGTACAATCTTGCGTTCATTTCAGAGATCACCCATCAGCTAAATAAATGGGAACAATAGTTTGGTAAGAAATAAGGACACATTTAAAAATTACATATATGGATTGACATCATTAACAACTTACCAGCCGGTCATAACTTAATTAAAGTTCTTCATCTATGAACAGTATATTAACTTCTACAAAGGGGAATTCAACATATACTCAACCAGATTATGGTTTTTGATATTAATGAATGGTATTCAATAAGTGGTAATTTTTGAAGAAGAAGAGTTCGGATGAAATTAACAACAGCTAATTCAATCACGATTAACTGTACGCTTTTAAAATTTTAAGCAAGATTAATTAATCAATATCTGCTAGCCTAACTAAAAGTGGGAAGTCATGTGAGGATCATCTGTCTAATAAGAGAAGCTTTCAAAGAAAATTTCTAAAGATAAACTAGCTCATATTTCGGCTACCACGAGAAAATTTCCGCCCGAAGGACATTGGACTCTTGATAAAATTAGCAGACAACTCAATCACCAATGTATACGAAATTACCAAATTAAACCAGAAAATCCTTTATTTATTGTAAGAGCTTCGGAAAAATTCTCTAAGAAACGCCGGTTTTAAAGTTATGTATTGATTTTAGATTACTGCGAAAAACACATTATTGTTTTCTTTTTTGGAGCAGCACACAGAAAACCGTTATGCAGTAACTTCTGATTTGCGAATTTACGTAGAAGCAATTTCTTCACGGAAAACTAATCGTTTAAAGTAGTTTATTCCAAGAAAGAAAAAATATGCAGTGATATGAATCAGTCCAACTAGTGTAATTTAACGAGCCTAGCATAAAGTAATTATCAATAACAGAGGAGAACTGTATTTATTGCTTTTAAATAGCTTAATTTGTTAATATATAAGAAAATAAACAAATTTTAGAGAAAAATTAAATATCTGATCGTTTGTCGAATGGAAACACACTAGCAAGGAAAAGAAAAATATATTTCATTTCAGGTAGTGACAACACATACCTTCAAATCGCCAAGTCTGTCGAATAAATCAGAAAAATTATCTCACATTTGCGGAGTAGCAACACTTTACTTTTAAATCACTGAGTTTTCTGATTAAATCTGTTATATCTTACTCTTTGCCCAGTGGCAATATATAGTTTTTAAATCCTTGCATCTACTAATCAAACTTTCATCAAGTTCGAAGATAATATAAAAAAAAAAAATTTAAATCTGAAAATTTTCAGATTTTATATTACGCCCAAAGAGGCTCTTTTTAACGTTTTGCGTTTTGCTTTTATTTATTTAATACCATAAATTTCAATTCTACAGCACTGTCACAAAATAATTTTAAACGAGCATGTCTTTAGAATTTCCGATACACAGTCTTGCGCACTGGAGATAAATTGTTTTTTCCGTACAGTGTTGCCATTGCTCGCTTTGAAATCGTCGAATATGTCAATCAAAAATTCGTTGAAGTTTTCCTAAAATATGAAATAGATAATAAAAAAAATTCCAAAATCGGGCTTCAAGATGCCTCTATTCGAGTAGAGAATTACGCTATTCAAAATTTGAAGGCTCTAGGTAACGTTGTTTTATCACAATACAAATATTAATGCAGATTATTCATTATTTAATTTCTTTAAATATAATACACGGCGATAGTATTTGGTGGCAACAATTGGAAAAGTGATACTCCGCAAAACGCCAAAACGAAATTAATAGCCCTTCTGGGCTAACATCCTTTGGGCTAATAATAAATAAAAAATCAAATTCGAAATTCAAAATTTAGGATTCAAGGTATAGAGGTTCGAGAGGGTGACTACGTGTGGTCAAAATTTAATGACTGAATGCCGCTATTTTTTAACAGAGTGAGGTACAAATAAACATATATACATATATAAAATACAGATTCTTCATTATTAAATAACAGAGATATAATGAAGATAATTACCAGTATAAAAATGTCAGCTTCAAGTATTGTTATTCTCATTTCCCTTAGACCTCCTCCTAGTAACAACAGAAAATCGCTTTCTAGTATTATCTACATCATTTTATTGAAATTACGTCCGAATATCTAACACCGGAAAGAAAGTTCTGCTTGAGATACTATTGTTTTTATTTATCTCAAATTACATCTCGGAAACTAAATTCCATTCGACAGCGAAAATGAAGTTTGAGGCTACGGGGGAAAAGATACGGCCGAAGAGTTTGCTTTATTTCTTTTGCGAAAATTTTAAAACTTTATGAGAGATATATAAAATACTAAAACAAAGTATAATGTTATGCATGGTAATAAAATTAAGAAAACCAGCTTTTAATATGAAATGTTTAAATAAATATGTACAAATTTATAAAATGGTAATAATATGGTTGACTAGAGAGATTTCATTCAAAACAATTTTAAACGCCATTCAACCCTTTAAATTTAGTCCACTGAAAGCAAAAAAATCATTTTTTATATAGTAAATCAGAAATTAAAAATTATATTAATAAAAAAAGGAAAATTTGAAAGCTTTCAGATTTTATATTACGTCCCCAAAAGGGCATCTTTTTAACGTTTTGCATGTTACCTTTAGCTATTAAATATCATGTTCTGCGTTCTTAAATTATATAAAATGCAATTCAACAGCAAAATAATTTTAAAATGAGCATATCTTTAGAATTTCCGATACACAGTCTCGCGTGCTGG